ATATTGGCATTTGGATGTGACACCGTCTGGAGCAATGAAATGAGAAAGCCCGGAGACATGGAATGTTTAGCCGCAGAGGTTGTTCCACTTTGAACTTCCTACAGCAAAGATGTCTTCGGTGATCGAATCGTGGAACACTTTTTGGCCATTTTGGGCAGAACGGTGTCTAGCAGGGCATTAAATGGGCTCAATTTTTTTCGCTTTTATCTATAAAATAGGAGTTTTACCATTCCCTTAAACAACTTACATTGTCATATGGTTACCACATTGAGTGCTCGGCGTCCACGGCAACGTCTGTTGGGGAACGGCTCTGGCTGTGTCTTGCGAGGCTGGCTAATGGAATCTCAAGAGAGGTTCTGGATTGACAACTATTGAAGCCAGTTTTATAGACTTTTGCGTACATGTAAAGTAGAAAAGCTCTTCCCCTACGATTTTTTGCACAACTGCATTATCTCAGCTTGCGCTAGAGGATGACTTTTCCGTTTCATGCCGTTCCACCGACTTGCTTTCAAGACTCATATCAATGAGGTGCCTGTGGATTCGTCCTAAAGATCCAGTAACATTCGGCATCAAACTGACTAAAACACATGAATATCACTCGGGCGCTACAAGCCTGCGCGCTACAATGAGTGGATCACTGCATGCTGTAACGCATCGATGATTTATGCGTACGGTGATGCAGTGGCGTACCCAGGGGGAGATTTTGGGTCATATCCCCTCTCCCCCGCACAGGGAGCGGTGAGGTCCCCTGGGACAGAGGGCCTCAGTCCATTTTCGGGAGTTTGAACCGTCCCAAGTGCTTTGCAGAGATAAATAACTGACGCCAAAATCATCGCAATGCTATCCCAAGCCTGAAAAGGCCCTCCGAATCTAAAAGCAGGGCCTCCATAGCGAGCATGGGAAACCCTTGGTTAGGAGCGCCTCTATTATCCGATATCCCTTCTGAACGAATTCCTTGCCTTGCCACTGCGGTTAAGGGCTTTTCTAGCTTACCCAATTCATGACCGTGACCTATGTCCTCAAAGCTATATCTGGATGCGGTCTACCAAGCGGGTGCCCTCGTAGGCGGTGGGTTATTCCACGTGACACGCACGGTGAGCCCTCAGCAGAAGTGAACGAAAACTTATTTAGAGAACTCATCCTAAGTGGTGACATCAAAACTCTTGATTTTGCTTCACACATTCCCAAGCTGCTTCTTTAAAGCTTTTGCTCAGGGTCTAATTACGATGAGAGTCCTTTCATCAAGACTGGTCTCACTGGCTTGATGGGATGAGCATGTATCTGTAACGATAAGAAATTTCACTGCCCATCGGGGACATTAGAAGGAAAATGGGACTCCCAACACGCCGTGAAAATGTCCAACCTGTTTCGGGGTCAGGAGACCAGGGTAACATGGCCCCCATAAACTGACTCCACAGGGAACAATCATCTAACTCTGGTTAGGGGGGGGCCGGTGAATGCCTGGACGCGCTTCCCCAGGGGTATCCCTTCCGTTGCGAGTTCCAGAACGCCCCAAACGAGTCGACCAACGCCTGTTTCGGATCGACTTTCTCCCCGACTGATTGTCACGAGGCCCGACACATCAGATCGTTTATCTCCGCTTGTGCATCGACGGGCCTCCGTCACCCTTAGTACGGGTCAGGTGACCGGCAGATGGGAGCGTGTAATGCAACCCCGCTGTACTTCCGCGGTGCAGCACGCTTTTACCAAGCAAAGCTTTAGACACATGAGAGACGTATGGAGAGGTGCACAGGCAAGGAGAGCTCCATCGAGTTAGCGTTATGTTGGGCTACAGGGCAGCATTGACTGCTTTGATGTGGAAAGTCTAGTGGAAACGTTCTGGGATGGATTTGGTTCAAAGAGCCTGCTCCGAATGGATCAGATTCTGTACCAAATTTGAGTGTTTTGCTGCTTAATTTGAAGCTGTTTAACTACTGATTTAAACATCTCACCATCATCCTCGTCATCGTTTGCAGACTGATCATGCTAGTAGCCAGGGGCACAGCCAGGACTTTCTTAATGGTAGGGGAGGGAGGACCAAAGCTCAGTGAGCACCCATCGTAGGCAACCAAAGAAGCTGTCTTTGGTGGTGAAGTAAAGAAGGGTCTGGGGCAGGAGCGCCCCGTCCTCTCTGTCTACATCTCCCGTGGTAGCACTGGACGTGTCTTATCTCAGGCTAGGCGGGACTGGCAAGAAAATCGCAAATGCATTACCATGATTAAAACCAAGTGTTGTGGCCAGCATTTAGTCCAGAACCGCCTAAAAAGGACCGTGGGAAGAGAGATGGGGAAGGGGTCAGTCAAGCAGGTTTGGTCTCTATCACAATATAACCCATGTTTTGTTGAGTTTAGGTGGACGTTTAGTGCCTGAAATTCAATTGCCGCGCCTCAGGGGCCCATTTGCATGTTCCAGCCCCTGTGATTATCTTGAACAATCTGAAATTATTGGAGCTTTCTCCGCCTGAGTGTAAAGGGGGTATCACCTCCATGGAGAAAGAGGGATATGGCCTCCTGCCCCCATTGGCTATGCCAGTTCCAGAAATCCAGGACCAGTGTTTATTATTAAAAGATTAAGTATGACACACAAATAATCATACATAATAGAGTATAATGAGACGTCTTTCAAACGTTCATTGCACGCATCTGTTCTGAAGAATTCATACTGTTACAAGTTCGCCAATTTTACCACGCTGACCTGGCTGGCCGCTCGTGCAGCTGTTGGATGACATTACAATATGATATCCGTAAATGCTCGCCTCCTGACCTGTCGCGACCTAGCCTCGTCATCCGCCCTAGGGAAAGCCACGCGTCGCGTTATCTCTGTTCACAAGCCGGAGGGAAGAGTCCAGCCGACACTCGCTAGTGTAGCTGGCAATCAGCTCTTGCGCCACATGGGCAGAGCTTCGCCGTCTCGAGCGTGCTGGGCTGTAGTGAGAATCGGAAGATGCGCTAGACTGTCGCATTTTATATCGTCGCAGGTCGGATGAGAAACGAGCCTAAGTGGACGATCAATGAGTGATTGTCACGTACCCTGTCGTGAAGGCACGTGACATTTAAGTGGACACTGCCTCGTTGTCGCTGGGTCGTGCAGCCGGTCCAGTTAACAAGGTACGGCAGGTACGCGAGAGGTTAAGACAATGGCGTAGTTCGTCGTTGCCCGGCGGCTGGTAGGCCAGTGCTTAGTTGGCAAAGCCTGGAAGAGGCTTAACGATCGGTATGAGAGGAGGAAATCTTAGGAACGTTGTTGCACACGCTCATCTAACGCAGACTCACACAAACTATCCGAGGACGCCTATCCACTTTTCTCTAGTGCGTGCCCGGTTTTCGAAATGGCAGAGGCCCGTGTGAGGCCACCGTCCTCCAGCAAAAGTGGGAAAACACCTGTCTGACGGCAGGATATTGTCCTGCCCTTCCTCAACACGTCATTGTGCCCCACGGGAGATGGGCCCGAAGAACAGCTCTCATTTATGCATGACGTCAGGCATATGCATTTCCTTCACTGTCAATCACATGAATCCTAATCATGTAAAACGATATTGGCAGCAAACAGTATTCACGCTTGAAGTACCTGTCTGGTGATATATCTAATGGCGTGATGATCCAGGGATGTGAGTGGCCGTCCGTAAACCATGCTAGGCCTGGAGGGTGAGAGGGGGGGGGGGGGCGATGGAGGTTGGTAAGCATAGCGGAAGTGTAACAAGAGAGGGAGGGAAGGTTTTGAACGGCGACTGCAAATCATGCTAAAAATATTTAATGCAAATCAAGACCTTAAACCCGCATGTCATTGCGTGTTTCCCATGCCGAGGAAAGCCCTCATTGTTCCACATTTCAAACATTTTTGGGTGCCAAATGAATTTAGTTTTTGGGATGTTACGCTTAACAAAGCATAACCAGTGAGTGCAGGGAATGGCAAGCGTTATTAATACGTTACTAGGGGAAGGAAAGTTGAAAATAGCCAAAATGCGCAACGTTATTTAGGCACAGCATTCTTAGGCAACGGGCCTATATACTTTCCGGAAAAGAAGATTAATGCCCTAGCGCCAAGGGTACATCGCGGCAAATGTGGATAACAACACCCGTATATTTATTTTTCTTAAATAATGCTCTCATAGAGATATGGGATCTCATGGCCACAATGACAACACCGCATGCCGCGGTCGCTCTGCAGGGCTGACTTCTGAATGTGTAATCATACATTCCATAAAAATACAATGGTGTGCTGTTGTTGTTTGCCGACATGACAACTGCAAATTGGCACGGTGATTCTCGGAAAGGTGGAGAGAAGGCACTAGTCTTACGGATGGAAAAGCTGTTCGGGCTATCGGCCTAGTTTGGTGTATTGATGTCAGTGTGCAACGTTTCAGCCTCCTAATTTTCCGGTCGTCATCAGGTGTTGTTAGAGTCCGGAGAAGGACCGGATGGCGTCTGCCTATAAGCTATGCACGCATCACTAACCGAATTTATTCTTTGACATTTCTGGGACCCGAACCGGGGTCTTCTGATCGCCCGTGCAGAACTGCCTAACTGCGCTCTTCGTGTCTAGTTGTCTTGTCTGCTTAGATCAGTCAGCAGAGATCCAAGGTCACCATATTCTAGAGAGGATGGGTTGTCAACCATGGCGTATCAATTGATGAAGCTTTCATGGCGACCAGTTAATGTTCTAACGGAAGCGCAGATCTCACCGGCTTGGAACATAAAATCGAGTGCATCTAAGTTTGGCGGTTGCCAAAGCCACAAATCTAGTTATCGGATGTTTTATTCTGGTCTTTGATGTTGTCCAACGTCTCAATGAGTTACTCTGAGTATATTTTTGACAATATTGCCCTGAATGGTGAAGATTTAGTGAGATCGGTTCCAACAGGCTCGGGTTGTTTGATTGCCAGCAAGTTTAACCCGTCGTTTAGTCTCTGGAAGGTTGGCGTAGCTTGCGCAATAGTAGACAGAGTTGGCGCTTACGGGACATATTACGGCATGCGCATTTGTTGGTTTCAGCTGCGAGCAAGGCTAGCTGCGAGGACGCTTGTGGGGAGCATTGAGGGTGTTGCGTGGAGTCGCAGCGGGATTTCCGTGACAGTAGGTGAGCAGATGTGTGGTTGCTCAAACTGCACAGATTGATATTGCCTCGGCTGGCTTTGAGTTGTTAGCTGCACATAATTTTGTGTATTTGGTTCTTGTCACGGGCGAGTGCGGTGCACGTGGAGCCAGTCTGCAAACCATGGCAGTCATGGGGACTAGTTTTATGCAGCCTGAATTCTGCCCCAAATGCATTCTGCTAAAATCATCAAGTGCTCTGAAGGCCTCTGCATTTTTGGGTGTGCGACACCTCAAAAGTGCCCAAGCTGAGCTCTCGCCATCCCAAATTGCTCTGAATTTTCATGTTATTTGTTGTGAAAAAGATTTGAGTGTTTTTGTCTGAAATAGCTTTTGCAGCTTCACAATTTCTTGTAACATGAATTTTGTACTGAAATTGGTGCTGAATGCATTTGGCAAAGAGTGCTTGGATTTGTCACACATATGTCCTGAAACATCTGCTGTGATAGGTTGCTGGACATCTATGTTGCTGCGACTCCAGACATGTTTTGTGGCAAACTATATTTTTGCAATCCAGTTCTAGGGTAAAATGAGTTGTGTCTCTTTGATTCTCATCCACCAAAAGCTCCAAGGTTTTTTTCTGATTGTGCCAGCTAAAAATTCTGTAATATTGCTGATAATTCATACTTTTCCAGTGGCATGTGTGGCATTTCACAAGGGGAATATGTAAAGAATTTTACTGAAAAGCTATTTGCAGTGTGTCTTGAACTTGTATGAGATTTTTGGTGTGGTGTTCAACTATATGACATATTCATAATCTGCTGAACTGTATGTGTTGAACTTGATTTGTTATTGTCAACATTTATTCATTTGCATATTAAAACATGCTGCACAAATTTGAAACAACTAGGCCACAGGCTTGCATTTGCTGATCTGGCCTGCCCCTTTGCATTCTCTTGTTTTTGGCACATGTGGTGTTTGCAACAAAATGGGAGCTTACTTAAAATGGGATCTGTCATGCGCTAACCACATGCATGCCATGTGATGTATTGATGGCTGATTATTGTCAATATCATTGGCACTTGGGAGTCAACATTTGATGCATAGCAGTGTTATGGGAGAAAACACATTGAAAGATAAAGATCATAATTAATATGACTGAGTGTCTGGCATGACATTGGAATAGCATTTCCAAAAAAGGAAAGGCATTAATATATCATACCTGTGAAGGAATCTTGCATTTGCTGACCTAACCTCCCCATTTGCTGTCTCTTATTCTCAGCCTATAAGGCATTAGTGGTAAAATGGGGCTGATGTGATGTGGAATGGGATCAGTCATGTACTAACCACATGCACGCCTCGTGATACATTGACGGCTGATGGATGTCAATATCATTGACAAAGGTGATTTATCATTTGATGCCTGGTCTATTAACAGGAGGAAATACACATGAAATATATGAATGATGTGATGCACTGGTCAGGATATCTCAGTAGTTGTCCATTTTTGCTGGTGTGCTTAAAACCTTTCACCTGCTCCAATTACAATCAGTATTATGCTAATTGATGAGTTGAGGTCTATTTTCATGAGTCGAAGGGACATGGGACATGTGGATCATGAACATTGTCACCCACAAGTCAGCAAAGCTCAGAAAAGAGTTTATTAGATATTGACGTGAAAGAAATCTTCCTTCAGCACAGCTTGACCTACTGATTTGTGGGTCTTGTCACTATGTTTATGACCCATGCATCCCATGCTGGTGTGCCTTTTGTCAACTTAAGTTGTTATTCCAAAAAGTAGAGGTTGTTGAGGCAGTTAGCAGCCAAAAATGGCGGTTATGATCCTTTATGCGCCTTGAGACACGACGCTCCTGGCCCATTTTTCATGATGCTTTGCCTCCTGTAAATCGGCCGGGTTCCTGCGGATGGTATGGTGAAAATGACAGTCGACCTTTCCCGTGGCGGTGTGAGCCGGAGGGGACAGCGGCGGTTGGTGGGGGGACTCTGGCGGTCCGGCCCAGCCACTGGTAGGAAATTGGGCATTGTCCAACTTTTGATCTGTGTGGTGAGTGGACAAACGGCCTGACGACGTTCATGGATTGTGTGGTGAGCGCAGCTATCCCACACAAACACGTGCTGATGGCTTCTGGGGTACGACAGGGGTGGGCTGTGTGAGGGGTGCTCCCCGGAGACATCAAAGGCGGCTCTCCAGCGCCTCCCGTACCGAAGTAATTTTTTTTTGGGGGGGGGGCTTTGCCATTGAAAGGATATGGTCATCCTCTAGGTCATTCGTGATTTTAGAAAATACCGGAGATCTGACAAATTTCTACAGTCGTAGCGCATGTTCAACAATTGTTTTTCGGTCCGGTAACGGTCCGGTCCGGCTGGCCGGCCGCTGTTTCAGTTGAGATTAAATAGACTATGGCGCGTCGACTGGTGGCTTTTGCTTTGTAGTCTGGTTAACTTAAGTGTTTCGCGTGTCAGTAACCAAAGGTGGGCAGTTGTGAACTTTGTTGTACCGTGGGACGTCAGCGACAACCATTACCCGCAAGGTCCATGCTTGTTCACGTCCTGTTAATTGGCTGCGCCGCCGTGTCGAACGGTGTCCCTTTTACAGCCATTGCACGGAAGGCTGTCTTCTTTAACACGACAGGATGTTCTCATGAATGTTAGCATTTTAGAACCTCCGCAAAAGGGAAGGGCTAACATCCCTTCTCACTTCCGTTCCTCCCCAGTGATTTGTTCTCTCCAAAGCGAACAAACGCCTGGTGATGCGCTGAACACCACTCAAGTGGCGCCGTCCAGTTCGGTAGATCATCTGCTTCGGTCCTTACGGGAGGCAGGACTGCAGAGCGCCTCACGTGCCGCGCAGTACTGCGGTACAGCCGCCCCCGATGGCCTTTGTTGCCCAGTTGCTCGCTAACCTGATCGGGTCTGCCAGGACAAACAGTGCACCTGTTCTGGGTTATGGGTTACAAACAATGCACCTCTTCTGGGTTCTGGGTTACAAACAATGCGCCCATTCTGGGTTCTGGGTTGCAAATAATGCATTCGTTCTGGGTTCTGGGACGTTTCCAGTGCCCAGTGGGACTCGTGTCCTATTTTACCAGAATGCTATCCCATGCCTCAAATGCACGCACATGCACTTCTACCGGGTCGTGTCGTAGTATGACCTCGATTGAATCGATGGAGATATTGTTGCGTGGGCTCACATTATTCGATGTGATTCTGACTGGTCCCTTTCTCCACCAGGTGAACAAATCTGACGAACACCATGGACGGGGCGCTGGCGTTTGTAACAGAGAATCCGACCATGTCACGGATTCTCTGCTGTGAGTGTGGCACTCCCATTGAACCAAACCCGACCAGCATGTGCGTGGCGTGCCTGCGCACCCACGTGGACATCACCGACGGTATCCCCAAGCAGGCAGTACTGTACTTCTGCAAGAACTGCGAGCGTTACCTGCAGCCTCCGGATACGTGGGTCAAGTGTGCGCTGGAGACGCGCGAGCTGCTGGCGTTGTGCCTGAAGAAGTTGAAGGGCCTATCGCAGGTGCGACTGGTGGACGCGGCGTTCGTTTGGACGGAGCCGCACTCACGTCGCATCAAGGTGAAGCTAACCATCCAGAAGGAGGTGATGAACGGCACGATCCTGCAGCAGGTGTTCATCGTAGAGTTCGTCGTCAACACGCAAATGTGCGGTGACTGCCACCGCGCGGAAGCCAAGGACTTCTGGAAGGCCCAAGTGCAGCTACGCATGAAGGGCACCAATAAGAAGACGTTTTATTACCTGGAGCAGCTCATTCTGAAGCACAAGGCGCACGAGAGTACTGTGAACATCAAACCCGTGCACGAGGGCCTGGACTTCCTGTTCGCAAATGAGGCGCAGGCACGCAAGTTCGTCAGCTTCGTCGACTCGGTTGTGCCATGCCGCACGCAGACGTCCAAGAAGCTCATCTCTCACGACGTCCGCAACAACACGTACAACTACAAGTTCACGCTGAGCGTGGAGCTGGTGCCGATCTGCAAGGACACGGTGGTGTGTCTGCCGCGGCGGATGGCGCACCAGCTGGGCGGCATCGGCCAGCTTTGCGTGGTCTTCCGCGTCGCCAACGTCGTCAGCCTGATCGACCCGAGCACCGGCCAGGTGACGGAGCTGCACGGCGCGCAGTACTGGCGCGAGCCGTTCGGCGCCGTCTGCGGACCGCGCCAGCTCACCGAGTTCGTGGTGATGGACGCCGAGGTACAGCGCGCCGACGAACGGCGTACGTTCGCCGGCCAGGGGGCGCTTAGCACGCGCCACCAGGTGGCGGACGTGTGGGTGGTGCGCAGCAGCCAACTGGGACAGGAGGACGCCGCCGTCCACACGCGCACCCATCTGGGCCACTTGCTGAAGCCCGGTGACTTGGCGCTTGGACTCGACCTCAAGAACAGCAACATCAACGACGACAACCTTGAGGCCATGGACCAGGAGAAGTTACCGGACGTCATCCTCGTGAAGAAGGTGTTCGCCGACCCGGCGGCGCGCCACCGCCGTCGCCGCTGGAAGCTGAAGCACCTGCGTGACGAGGCAGACACGGCCAGCCAGGACCGGGACTACGCCGAGTTCCTCGAGGACCTGGAGGAAGAGCCGGCTCTACGCGGCAACGTCAACATCTACCGAGACCCGGCCAAGGTGGCCGTGGACGTGGATGACGCCGGCTTTGACGCGCCGCAGGTCACGCTGCAGGAGATGCTAGAGGACCTGCAGATCGGCGGCGACGCCACCGGGGAGGAAGGCGCGCCTATGCTGGAGTAACTGCCAACGGCCAGGAGGGTACGCTGATGCGGAAGTGAACGCAGTGGTTGCTCCGGTTTGGGTGGGGAGATGGGTGCGCTGACATGGTGGGTTGAAAAGTAAAAATATTTAACTTTTTAAGGACATGAAAGTGCTTTGGGAGGCGTAGAAGTGTTAAAATGTCTTTAAAGGCGCAACGCCCACTGGTGCGTTCCAACACTGTCGGCGGGTGTTTGTTTGCCTCTTGCAAGCTGTCCTTGACGTGGATGCGTGCATCCATATAAATAAGAGTGAATGGAGATGCTGGTTGTGTTATTGCCATCGGCCGTGAAATGATGCGCTCCGTTGTGTCGAACTGGTTGTAAATCGTCCCGTACATTTGTACTGGTGTTACGGCTGTCACGGAACATATCATTGGACACCATTTAACCTGTGGGTAAAAGAGGAAAAGTGATAGGAAACCGTTGGCTACGAACTCGTTGACAGTACTCTATCCGTATACTTTCTGTTATGTGCGATGCACAATTGTCTTCGTCAGCATTTGGCAGTTTATACCGAGCAAAGATGGTCAGATGTATTCAGGATCCTTTGCTGTTACCATGAACTCGCGACTCCCTCACCGGTGACTACTCGTTACTGCGAAGCATGAGAGTTCGCGAATCATCGCAACAGTGGCGCGAGGGACGCACGCGAACCTGGAAGCGTGTCTGTAAAAACTGAGTATCGCGTATAAACGATTCACGGCAACTGGATTTCGTAGAAAATAAAAGCAAGCCAGAGGCAGTGTCACCGGGCTGGTCGCTTGACGCCATTGGGAACGGTGCCATACAGAGGTCAACGCGAGCCTCGAGCTGCCGCGCTTTCGACCGACGCACGGCAAATACCTGCGCCTCCGTAGAGGTTCTTGTATCGTGACACACCGACACGGCAGACGCAAGGCGAAGCGAGATGGTATCTGCGTGACTAACTGGAAATGGGTAAGGTCGTATAGTGCACACACCGCAATGTGACCTGGGAGAAGCGCCCTTCGAGGGGGGGACCGCTGCTGATCGCCTGGGGACCGCTGCTGATCGTCGGTGGCAGCTGCTGACCGCCAGGGGACCGCTGCTGATTGACAGGGGGTAGCTGCTGATTGACAGGGGACCGCTGCTGATCGTCAGTCGGCAGCTGCTGGTCGTCAGGGGGCAGCTGCTGACCGCCAAGGGACCGCTGCTGATCGTCAGTCGGCAGCTGCTGGTCGTCAGGGGGCAGCTGCTGACCGCCAAGGGACCGCTGCTGATCGTCAGTCGGCAGCTGCTGGTCGTCAGGGGGCAGCTGCTGACCGCCAAGGGACCGCTGCTGATCGTCAGTCGGCAGCTGCTGTCAGGGGGCAGCTGCTGACCGCCAAGGGACCGCTGCTGGTCGTCAGTCGGCAGCTGCTGGTCGTCAGGGGGCAGCTGCTGACCGCCAAGGGACCGCTGCTGATCGTCAGTCGGCAGCTGCTGGTCGTCAGGGGGCAGCTGCTGACCGCCAAGGGACCGCTGCTGATCGTCAGTCGGCAGCTGCTGATCGTCGGCTGCAGCTGCTGACCGCCAGGGGACCGCTGCTGATCGTCAGTCGGCACCTGCTGGTCGTCAGGGGGCAGCTGCTGACCGCCAAGGGACCGCTGCTGATCGTCAGTCGGCAGCTGCTGGTCGTCAGGGGGCAGCTGCTGACCGCCAAGGGACCGCTGCTGATCGTCAGTCGGCAGCTGCTGGTCGCCAGCGGGCGGTTGCCTCCCGCTCACACATGGACCGGTTTTAGGACAAAAGTGTATGCATAAAGTGCGCATGCAACTGTTCGTAAGGGCACGCAAAAGTACGTACGCAAGTGTTGCTGATGGATAAAGTTGGTTTGACGAGCACGCGCGCAAAAGTAAATAAGGCAAAACCAGGAGTCTATTCGGTATAGCTTCCTATTCAGATTGGAGGGGGTGCTTCCTCCCCAACTCAGGCTCTATTCTTCGAACTTTGATGGAAAAGTGAGCCAAATATGGGAGGCAACCCGCTTCTTGGCGAATTTTTGGGGGTAGGCCTCGTGATTTTTATGATCCAGCCCCCTAGCTCACTGAGAAACTACGCCTCTGAGGATAAGCAGGATCGTATGTAAATCAATACTGACATGATGGTAATCATTAAGAAAATGAGGAAGCACAAACATACGTACAAAAGAAGGTTCGCGAGCCACATAGGTGTAAGACCGGGGTCCGTGGGTAAGCCCTCACTTTCCGAGAATGTTGAATTGACCCCATGGCGATGCCTGTAGAGAATTGGTTTCGAGATGGCAAATGGTGATTTGTTGGAGTGTTCAAGGACAGAGCAACCACCCGAGCACCATACAATGCACCGCAAGCTCTCAAATTCCGCCGAAATTTGGTTTCCGGGGTTAATCTATGGCATGCATTTGAGTGAACAATCGCTACCGCTGTCCTGCGTACAGTTTAAAAGTGATACTT